TGTTTTTTTTTTTCTTGAATATTTTTATTTTCTTTTCTTTTCTTTTTTTTAAATTTACCATATTTGTTTTTTTTTTTTTTTCTTTTCTTTTTAAACATTTTCTTTTCTAATTCTTTTTTTTTTCAATTTCTTTTTTTAATTTTTTTTTTTGTTGAAATAAATTGAAAACAATTTTTTATTTAAATTTTTTTAACTCATTTTTTTTTTTCTTTTCTTGTCTGTTTATTTTGTTTTTCTTTTCTTTTTTTTTGTTTTCATTTTTTAATGTATGAATACATTTTCTTTTCTTAGAAATGACCATGTCTTTATTTTTTCCCTTTTTTCAAAAGAAAGACAAATTTGTTTTCAAGGAGGTTTTCTTTATTTGTTGTCTTTTCAAATTATTTTTTGTTTTTTCAAAAAATTTTTTTTGTTGACTTAGAATTATTTTTAATTAGATTCTTTTCTTTTGTATTAAAATTTTTCTAATTTTTTTTTTTTTGTTTAAATAATGAATATTTTTCTTTTCATAAATTTTTTTTTTTTTTTTTTTTTTTCGAAATTCGGTCAAAACAAAAATCACGGATAAACAAAAATTTTTTTTTTTCCAAAAATCTTGTCCTTTTTGTTTTTCTTTTCTCAGGCATCAGGCAAATATCTTTTCTTTTGACGTGAAACTTTGTTTTCTTTCATTAATTTACATTTTTCTTTTTTTTTTTTGGTTTTTTTTTTTTTTAAAGGGTGATTGTGATATTACGTCCTAACCATTTTTTTTTTTTTCTTCCATAGCACCAACACACAATGACCATTTATTTGATTTTTAGATCCAACTCTGAATTTTTTTTCTTTTTATTTTCTTAATACTGCTATAGACACGTTTTTTTGTTTTTTACACCATCTTGTTAGTAACACTTTTGTAGCGACCCAACTTTTTTTTTACACCGACGAACATTTATTTTCTTTGTATGTGAAAAAACGTAGATGTTTAGGAATAACAGATACGACAAAGGCATCTTTTCTTACAATTGATAAAAAAGACAGATTTAATTTTGAAAGAATGCTTGAGAAAATTAATTTTGTTTATGGTTTATTTGAAGGCAAAGGAAAACAGCTAAATAACCAACTTGTTCACTTTTTTAACAAATCGATGTCGGAACAAATGCCATTTAAAGAAATTCATCTTACAAGAGAACAACTCTGGCTTAAAAGCGACAAAAGATAGGAAGCTGTGAAGAGCCACGTTTCGATTATTGCTGAAGAAATATGTCAAATTGGGATGAGATCATTTATAGATGGAGATATAAAGATGATCATTTTCTTTGACTAGATCTCTATCAAAGAGCTCTATAGCGTTAACAACGCTGCTAAAACTTTTTTGCATTTTTTTTTTTATTCATTTTTCGCTACTGCACTAGCAGGGAAACTAATTATAGGAAGTTTTTTTTTTTGACTGTCCCCTTATTTTACTTAGAATCTTCTTCTTGAACCAAAATATTGCCAAGTAGCGATGCTGGATCCAGAATTTTTGGAATACACTGAGGTGGAAATGAATATGAGAACAAAAAAAAACTATTAAAGAGAGAGAACAATTAAAAAAAAAGAATTAACAAGTCATTAGACAACGACTGAAATTGTAATCAAGTTCTTGAAGATCAAAATTCACTGAGAAGTAAAAAGCCCAAAGAAAGTTCCACAAGCGAGAAGTGCTTTAGAAGAAACCATTAGCATAGAACTTAGTTCTATCTATCCATTTCAGTTATAAAATAATGAAATCTTTAATTAATTTCATAAAGTTTAGGTACCATAGTGGAAAGTTCCACAGAACAATTACCATGTAAGTATTTCTTAAAAATAACAGGTTATGGCGGTTTTGACTATAGGGAAGATGCTATGTTCCAGGACCAATGATTTGCGGATTATTATAAAAAAAAATTTTTCTTTACAGATTCATCTCCTGGTTAAATTTAAATTTCCTCTATGGAAGCCAAGTGTCTCCTGTTTAAGAATCACTGTTGCGAGATGAATTTAAACCTTAATAAATACCTGAACGATACCAAAAGTCCATTATTTAGAGCCTCACTGGCTATTCTACAGTTTGTGGAGACTACTAAAAAGTAACGCAACGTATATAAGATAACATCTGTATTTTTTGTTAATTATTTCATGTTGCTAATTAATTCACAAAACGTGCTATTTGGTGTAGCATTTTTTGTGTTCTTGTATTTTTAAGTGCAGAGACTGGCACAGTTAAATGCCTTGTCTGAGTAAATACATTAACTCCTATCTTGGATAGTTTAAAATCTTAACCTGTTCAAGTCCAAGGGCTAACCGTTATCTTTTTATACATATAATAAAACAAAAAGCGCATCTTACTCTATAACCCTCTACCTCTAGAGGCCCTTACGCCTTGTACAAGGTGAACATCGTGATAAAACAAACAAAATAAAAATCCAGAATTTTGAAATTATCAGATCTTATGCAAGTCAATATTTTTGCAATTCCGAATTACCCAATCAACGTTAATAAATTTAAAAAAAAACATACAGGAAGTCCGATGAATATTTTCTATTGGCCAATGCCACGAGCATAGCGACTGAATTTGATATATTACTGTAATTATTTACATTGAATTAAATAAAATGTGGAATGGTCGCACATGTGCTTCAAAAGCAATACGGAATTTTTTTTTAAGCATTTTAATTTAAACAAGGAGGTTACAGAGAGTGAAATATAAGTTAAATTTAAGACAACTCGATATGGAACATATACTTTCGACCGATAAATAACAGTAATTGAGTCAATTTCAAAGTACAAGAACAAGACAGAAAGTTACGGAAGGATGATTAATTATTGATTTTTGGACGAAGATGCCAGGAGAAAGAAGACTGTTGTCTATAAAACTGATTTTTGTGCAAAGGAAAACAGAAGGTACGAAGCAGGACACGCAGAAAATAGTTGCCACGGCTGCTGAATGTTAGAACTGGTCTAACTAAGGAATGTAGTTCGTCTGGACATTTTCCATAAAAAACAGCGATAGAGTAACAAGAGACTTTCGACGTTTTGTCTGGGGTGGGAGGTTGTAAAATAATCTATCACCCACAATGACACGAAAACGCTTTTGGATTCTATCAAGATTGGAATAGAAAAGATATATATTTGAAGTTTCTCCTATGTATTCCTAGTGGAATAAAAGAACACATAGGATAAACTTCAAAAATTTAAATTTTTTACAAAAACAATAACATTAAATGCATTAGTCGTTCAAAAATTATGAGACTGGTCACAATTTTTTTTTTGAAAATGCTATTATTTAATTAAAAAGAAAATAATTTACTAAAGACGAAAATGTTTAGGAAATGCTTTAATCAAGGTCATCACAGTAAATTTACGTCAGGTTTTTACAATGTTTCGCCGTTCATGGCAGATCTTATATTACACAATGTGGAATATTTAATAATTTTTTGCGATGGGAAAATAAACAAAAAAAAAAATTTATAAATGAAATGGCGTTTGGTTTGGAGGAGAGGCGTATTCAAAAAAAAATCGAAAAATTTTTTTTCACTGCAAATTATTCATTATATCAATTCCAAAATAAAAATATTTTTAAAAAAATTAGAGCCGATTACACAATATTTCAAGCTGAATTTAGGTTTATAGTTCGTAACCATGCAATGAGATGAGGTAACATAAACCGTAGATTTGTCTGCGGAATATCATTACATTATTGTTACATAATTATAGTGAAATCATTAAGGTTTTTTGTCAAAAGCATTTTATTTTTGGTCGTATATTAATTTAAAATATTCCTTTTTACAGGCTTTATTTTTTAAATGGAATAAGATCATTCTAAATTTCAGAATTTTGTTATTGCCCATCAAAATGACTGGAAAGAAAGCGATCTAAAAAACAATGGAAAAGAGAGGTAACAAAGCGTAAACGAAATAGCTCCAGTTTGTTCAACTTTAGGAAACTTAGCATTGCAGCCAAAGTATTCTAAAATGCTGCCAATAACAAAAAGAAAATGAAAATACCTAACAACAAATTGAATATAGCATCAAAATTTATATTATTTTTATTTATTTGTTATGTAACTAAATACATAATTTAACAATGTTTCCGTAAAACTTGATATTTCCTGTAATAAATTCTTAATAAAATTATTATTATTATTTTACTTAAGTGTAAAGGTAGTCCTACATTTACAATTCCTTACGGTTAACCATGAAAATAAATATTGATCAAAACTGCCTAAAACCTTTAGCGCGTATTGCTTCAAAATTATCAAATGTTGAATACGCCCCTCCTTGAATGCATTATATACCTAAAACCTTATCTAAAAAAAAGAAAAAAAAATGCTTGTTTCGCTAGATCATTTGTGATTGAGTTCGATCCTCACTGGTTACCTACATACTTTCGGCCATATTTAAGCTACGCTTAGAGCATCGCCATATATTAAAATTCTCAATGTCTTTCTTTTCTTCGTGCGCATGTGTAAACGCATGAACGTAAATATAGATTTTGTCCGCTGAAGGACGAAACATGTCCCATAAAAAACTTTTCCCACTTATTTTATATAGTTAAAATCACGAGAATTGTTGTATTATGGATATACGTGTTGTATATGTAGGTGAATGACTAAGTCTAATGATTGAAAACAAAAACAATCGCGAGAAATATTGCTTTTTGGCAATGAACTTAATTCAGTGGTGAAAGTTAATCACAGGCATGGCATATTATTCCATTAAAATATCAGATCAATTTCCGTCAATAACTACGTGTTAAGTTACGGATATATTGATCCACCTTCGTGTTGGAAAGAAGTAAACAATATCTCATTTCTCTTAGAAACATTCGTGTTTGTGGCACGCACCTCAGTAGAGTTTGAAAATCTCCATACATCAAAACAATGTCCTTTTGTCGAGCAAAATGTTACATATTTATCTCCCAGAGCTGCTCTATTTTTTTTCCTTCCTAGCAGACAGAAAACATGTCATCCCTGACTATCTCTTTTGTTTCTGAGCATGGCCGGTCAATTGTGGCAGCTTTATCGTCCTGTCAATGTTATTGATAAAATATTGTGTGACACGGCTGCACTTTCTCCTCATTCACGCTTTCTTTTTAATTCAATTTTCCTTTCTTCTTTCACGTCAACACTCTTTCTCACGCTCTCTTACGTCAGCATTTTGTTCTCTCTCCTCCATTGCGCTTTTTCCCATTTTCCTCCTGCACATCTGTCTTTTTTTTTTTTTCTTTTTCTGAATTTTCCAGTTTTGGCCATTTTACTCTCTCACATAAGCTTCTTTTCTTTGTTTCCTTCTGTCTCTCGTTCTATCTCCTTTCTCTTTTTTTATCAATCACTGTCTTTTTTTCTTCATCTTTTTCTATTTCTTTTTGATTTACTTCTTTTTCTTTCTTTACCTTTTTTTTTTTGCTCCTTTCTTTTTTTTCTTTCTTTCTTTCTTTTCTTTCTGTTCATTTTTCCTTTTTCTCCTGGACAACTGTCTTTTTTTTTTTTTTCTGACTTTTCCCGTCAAAATCATTTTCTCTCTCACAAGTTTCTTTCTTATTGTTCATTTTTTTATTTCTTTATCTTTTTTTTTTTTTTATATTTTCTTCCTTTTTTGTTCATTTTTTCTCTTTCTTTATTTCCTTCTTTCTCTCGTTCTCTATCCTTCCTTTTTCTTTCTTTATCTCTGTCTTTCTTTCTCTGCATCTTTTCTCTCTTTCTCTTGATTTACTTCTTTTTCTTTCCTTTCTGTCTCTCTCGCTTTCTTTCTTTCTTTCTTTCTTTCTTTCTTTTTTTCTTTTCTTTCTTTCTTTCTTTTTTTTTTTCTTTCTTTCTTTCTTGAATAAGTGTTAATCAAAATTATCAATTGAAACAGCCTTATATTGGTATAAGAAGACCATTGACATTTCATTCTTTTATATAGTATGATAATATGAAATTCAAATATATTATTTCTCTGAAAATCAAAAATTTATAGAAAGTAAAAAAATAGTGGTGTATATTTCCTGAAATTTTTTAACTGTTTTTATCTTGTGATAATGTGTTTTTGTAAATAAATTTTAATCTACTTTTGTCTAAATAAATGAAAATAAAATAAACTTTATAACTGAAAATTTGTAAATATGATCCAACCAGCTTCTTGGAGGTTATAGAAAAAGTGGTTTATCATTAAATAAGATTTTCATCTTTAAACAATTGTTTTGTAAAGAGCTGTTATTAACAGATTTTGTGAGAAGCTGAAACATTCATTAGCAGAGTCAGGATCTACTGAATATTTTCTTTCTATACAAGCCAGTTAATCTTTTCTCTCTTTTTTTTTTTTTATATGACATACTTTTGAGAAGCCTATATTCTATTTTATTGAATATTCTCCCCTATTCTGAAGCTAACTAGTATTTTTTCAAAGCTAACAAAACAGTTTCTATTGGTTATGATGGTCTAAAAAAATGATGTAACCAATACAAATAACACAGATATATACACTAAAAAACATGCTTATTTCAGGTGATTTTTATATATATATTTAAAGTGCTGAATTAAAAAAATGGAAGCCATTTTCTCCTTCATATAACTTCTTCTTTATTTTTTAATTTTTTTATTTGTTTTCACAAAAACATTATTTTGTTTTTTATAAGTTCACATGTTTTATATGGATATTTTATTTGAATTAAAATATGTTTGAATTCAGTACATATTAGTATTAAATCCATGTTTTAAACTAGGTATGTTCATGAGATCCATAAAAAATAGCATAGCCTGATTAAAAAAAGGCCTTAAACTTGATGAAAATAATTTTTTTATTGTCTAAATGTTTGTTATTATTAAGAGGAAAGATCAAAGTATTTTTGATTATTTTTTTACATTTTTAATAATTTTCTAGCACGTCCAAAATTTTCGTTAAAAATCTTGTTTTTTTTAATTAGCAAAATTGACAGAAAATCAATTGTCAGCCATTTTTAAAACTTTTGTTTACAAAAGTGAAAGTCTCTGTTTAAAATTCTTTTAAAAAATCAATCAATTATGATTTTTTAAAAATTAATTTGATAAAATTAGAAATTATAAAGTTTATTTAATATATTTTGAAACAAACATTACTTACTTTCTGCACTGAAAAATGTGCTTTAAAATAAGAGAAAGCCAATCATAACAGCGGTGTTGATTGACAAGTGACATGTGCGTGATTTCATCTCACACTGACATCTTACAGGAGAAAATGCTATAGTATGGAAGGTCACAAGTGACAGTTTAGCTTTACGTGAACAATTTAATTACCTCATTATTTTACTTACTTTTCAAAATTTTCTGCTGCTACTTGGTTGTATATAGGATGATATATAGTTCAATTTTGGGTTTTTTAAGTAAAACTTCTCAACATGTGTTTCACCCATCGTAAATGTAAAAATGTAAAGGCTGTTAACAGTGCTGAACAACATTTATATACAAAAATCTAATCACTTGTTGTTTTTATTGTATCATGTTTCTTCCAGGCTTCTGTACATTTGAATTATAACCATTTTTATTGACATAAAAGGCAAGGAACAGTAAGTTTTTTTTTCTAACTGGTGGTTCGTGGATTATAAAAGCTTGTGCAATTTATAATATGTACAGCTAGAGGTACTTAAAAAACATTAAGTAAAGGATTTGACATTTCCACTAATTTTACAATATTTAACAACTTTAATGTAGACTAATTAAATAATTTAAGAAATAACAATTGTTTTAAAAATTTATTTTTCATTAAAAACGTTTTTTTGCCTTCAGACAATATTATGCATATTCATAAAAGCAACTAAAAGCATTTGAAATTAAATAATATCTTTGTTTTATTGAGTTTTGTATGTTACAATTCATAGCTGATTTTAGGTAGACAAGGTCGGATTTTTAAACAAAACCTGATTTACTTTCCTCAAAGCCTTGTTTTTAACTAATATAATGACTTGCGTGCTTCAACATTTTTTCTAGAGTTTTCATTAAATTATTTATGGTGGTAATATATATATATATATATATATATATATATTTATTTATCATAACTAAAAAAAAAAAACATTTATAATAATTTCCATCATTTCTGTAAGTTTAATTAAAATCTGACAATTATTTCTATTTTGCAAGATTTTCAAAATTAATGTCTGTCATAAAAAAAACAAAAAATTTGCCATGTTATTTACTACGAGTTCCGGTGATGCAGAGAAACAAGGTTTTTCAATCAAAAGTTAGAATGTTCTAATAAAGACAGAAAATTTTTTAAAATAACTAAAAATTATTTTGTTCTTTTTCTTAATTTTTTACTTAAAACCTTTTAACGATAAAATTTTGCTTTCGAAGTTTAAGGCCGTTTTTATCAAGCTATGCTCATTTTCCAGCGATCTCACGGATATACCTATTTTAAACAATAGTTAATTTAATATTGAATATATCAGGAACACAATAGGGATTAGTCATGCCATAAGAAAAACAGCATGTTTAGCATTTGGACTTTAGTGTTACATAGTCTGGTCTCAAAGCATTAGTGATATATTGATACTAATTGTTGTTATTTTCTACAGATAAAATATTGTTGAGCTGTTAACTTATGGCATCTTGAGTTTGAGTTAACAGTCCTGATTTTTTTTTCATATATATTTGTAGAAAAAAGCAAAAAAGAAACAAACATGGATTTTTTTTTTTAAATAAATATATTATGCCTACTTTGGAATAAACCTTGAGACCAGCCTACAAAATGAGCCCCCTCAAGATGTTAGCTTTGTTTGTGTATACTAATACTACAGACAAAAATGGAAAAGAAATCTCTTGCTTCTGTAATTCCAATGATATAAAAAGAACCAAAACAATCAAAGTAGTGATTTTGCTATTTTTGTTCCTGAAAAATTTAGGGATACAATGAAAAGAATGAGCAAGAAATCACTTCCATCAACAATAAAACCTTGTACATATGGGTCTAACCTTCCAATCTCTGCTCCGACTGTTAAGCTTGATTATGTAGAAATTCACTCAGATGAAAAATTGCTGCAGATAGACTTAAATGTTATGTATATATCACTAGGACAGCAGTTAGGATACATATATACACAAATTCTTATATTTTTTCTACATTTGGGGCATCATAACCAAGAATCTACATTGATTCAGAAAGAATTAAATTTGTTACCGTAAACAGCACCAAACCTAACATGGTGAATCTAGAAAATGTGATGTGATAGAAACGTTCTAAGTGTAGCTTTTCATTATGTTCATGTGTGTAGAAATACATTACTACTAAGATTGAAACAATTTTAAAGATTAATTTTTCAAACTTCTTTTAATTGATTGCTGTTGTTTAAACACATTTCATAATTTGATCATAATTTTGACTCAAACTCAATACAGGCATCAAGTTTTTAATCATCAATGAAACAAAATTTAAAAAATTGAAATAATAAAAGCCTGATGAATTTATTGCCAATGGTATTTGTTATATTTTTTTTTTTTTTTTATAATAATTTTTTTTTGTTTGGGAGATATATATAGATATAAAAGGAAGAGGTTATAGTTGTTCCAATGAAATAAAAGTGCATATCTTAAAGAGAAGAGAGAAACCGCAAATGTTTTGGTCATTATGTGGATTTTTTAAAATACATATACTTTATTTTTCATATTTTTGTTACACATTTTTCCAGTCTCACAACCTTCATCAGGCAAAGAGTTGTTATTTCTACATATTATTAAAAAGTGATTAATTCTCATCTTTTTCCATTGTATTTTTTGTGTAGTAGTAAACCACTCCAAGAAAAATTTGGGTTGCTACTACACAAAAAAGACAATAGTTAAACACCGGAAAACAAGGAAAATTAAGTCTAGGATAATCATTGCTTTCACCATCTTCATCATAAATTGTACTGAATCACTCTAATTCACAACCAGAGTAAAAAGGCACAGAATAAAAAAAAAATTATTGCAGGATATCTCATCAAGTAGTTTAGAACACTTTTGAATCAATTAATGGTTCATTCAGGATTTTAATCTTTTTTCTTTTCTAATAATTAAGAATCTGTGGTTTTTAAAAATGATTATATTGTCATATGATGGAA